CTAAACTTGCCTAAGCAGGCACTTTAGTCCACTGGGCTATCTTGCCAGCCCCTACTTAAGTCATTTCTGTTTAAAATAGTTCATCAGGGACCAGGGAGATGGCTCAGTGGAATAAGCGCTTCCCTGGCAAGCGCAAGGGCCTGAGTTCAATCCCCAGTTCTACCAAAAAAAAAAAAAAAAAAGAAAAAGTAGTTCATCAGATTTCCTATAGTCTTTTCTTTGACCCATAAGTTATCTAGAAAAATATCTCTTCATATTTTACATATATGTATAATTTTCTACAGATTATTGTTGATTGCTAACTCCTCTCATTTTGATCATATTAGAAAGTATAATCTTGTTATATTTATATAATAAATAAATTCTAGTCCAGTATAATCAATGCTGGCAAATGTGTCACATGTACTTGAAAAGATTATGTATCTTGTTGTTGGTGGCGTAATACTCTAGGATCTCAACTTTGTCAAGATGAATAACAGTATCTCAGATCATCTATAGCCTTACTGAATTTTGTGTATTTGTTTATTAATTACTGAGAAAGGGGTATTAGAAATTGTCTAACTATGATTGAGGAATTTCTATTTTTCTCTTTGGTTCTGCCAATTTTTATTGGGAATATTTGGAGACTTTGTTGTTAGGCTTGTACACATTTAGCATTGTTTTGTCTTTGTGACAAATTGATCCTTTTGTCATTTTAAAGTAACTTTTTTATTTCTGGCAATAACCATGTTGTAAAGTCTGCTTTGTCTAAAATTAAGTATTCTATCTTTTTTTGTGTATTTGGTACAGGATCTCACTATGCAGCTCAGACTCCTAGTGATCCTTCTGTTTTTTGCCTCCCCAGCGCTGGGATTACAGGCATGCGCCACCATACCTGGTTTCAGTGGCAGGCTCAGCGCCCCTGTGGGCTGGGCCAGCGTGGCAAGTAGTGCCAGGGATCAAACCCTAATCCCTGAGCTTGACTAGGCAGGTGCTTGGTCCACTGAGCTATCTCACTGGCCTTTAAAATTAAATATTAAATCTTTTTTTTTTGTTTTGGCGGAACCGGGGATTGAACTCAGGCCCTTGCGCTTGACAGGAAAGCGCTTATTCCACTGAGCCATCTCCCCAGCCCCTAAAATTAAATATTATATACTATAGTTTACTCAAAGGATTCTACATTTTTAAAGTGTATATCCATAAACAAAACATAGTTTGGCCTTTTTTTCTTAGTGTCTTTGCCAGTTTTCTTTTCATTGGGATAATAAATGTCATTATTGATAAATTTTCTATCTTACTACTTGTCTTATATGGCCCACCTGTTTTTGTTGATTTTTATTTCTTTCCTGATCTCTCTCTCTCTCTCTCTCTCTCTCTCTCTCTCGGTACCAGGGATATTGAACTCAGGACCCTGTGCTTGCCAGGCAAGCACTATCTCCCCAGCCCCATTTTTTTTCTTTGCGGGGGGGGGGGTTATTTGTTGATGATTATTTTTACGTTCACTGTGGGATTTTTTTCTGAATCAAAATAAAATTTCACAGAATTGTGCAGCAACACACCTCAATTTACTTCCCCTTTCTGTGATCCATATTATATATTTTAATATCTCACAATATGTTATTGTTTTTGCTTTAAATACTTAATGAAGGGCGGACGAGATAGCTCAGTGGACTAAGTGCTTGCTTAGGCAAGCGCAGGGCCTGGGGTTTGTTCCCACTAGCACAGGCTGCACTGGCCCTGCCCCTGGGCAACTGAGTCTGGATGTGGTGGTGCGCACCTGTAATCCCAGCGCTAGGGAGACTGAAAACAGGAGGATCACTACAAATTTGAGCTGTATAGTGAGACCCTGTACCAAATACATAAAAACAAATAAAATACTTAATGAACTTTTTAAAATTTAATCCTAGAAATGTTCTTTTTATTTATCACCATATTTATCATCCCCAGGGCTCTTCATTCCTTCGTTGTAGATTCTAATTTTAAGAATTTACTTCTTTGTTGTGTGTAAAGTATCAGAGTAATAAATTAAAGATTAGCACTGTAAAGATAGCATTGCAGTGTCTTCTAGCTAACGCAGCTTCTGAACAGAAGTTGGCCATCCTTCCTGCATGCAATGTATATTTTTCCCTGGGTGTTGTTAAGAACTTTCCCCTTTATTTCTGTGCAGTCGGTAGCTATAAAAGGCTCTAAGTCTTTACACTGCTGACAAGTGACAGTTAAGCTGCCGCAACCTCATAGGTTCTGAGCAGGGACGGTAGAAGGCAGCTTACTACACCCTTAGCAGGCGTGAGGATGCCCCCAGGCTCCCTGAGCCCCCGTTTCCACAGGGTGTTGCGTTGGGGTTTGGACCTTAAATGTCCTTCTGAGCTGCAGGCTTGGTCACAAATCTGCCGTGCTACTAGATGGTGAAGTTACTGACGGCCATATCGGGACCCAGGTCCTTCCCGTGTCTTTGTTTTGTTTCCCAGGTGTCAGGAGGTGAAGAGCCTTAGGGGACGCCTGCCGCCCACCATGCCGCCTCGCTTCACCACAAGCCCGAAGCCACAGGACCAAGTGATCACAGATGGATCTCAAAACTCGTGAGCCAGAAGAAAATGTCCTCCTGGTAGTTGTTTATCTCAGGTGCTCTGTCACTGTGTCGGAAAGCCAACACAGGGTGTGGCTAGCGTCTAGCGCAGGAGTACAGCGCAGAGAGGAGTCCAACAGTAGGGGGCGCTCGCCTTATTTAGAACTCACTGGAAAATATGCCCAAAGTTTGCTCTGGAGGGCAAAGACTGAGGTGCGTTCGCCTTCCGCGTAATGAAGATAGGCAGATCATACTCACTGGAGCAGATTTATTTATATTCCACTTGGTACTTATGACATAAAGTGGTTATAATATTTCTGATGAGAAATTCTTGATCACGTGACCCGTTATGTCTTATCTTCCCCTGTAGGTTCTTTAGCATATTTATCTTAATTTTGTTTTTAATTCCTTATCCCTTAATTCTTCTGAGCCTGTGTCCGTTGATTATCTTTCTCTTCTCATCTATGATCGACATTTTTCTGATTCTTTGAATGTCAAATGATTTTGTGTCATAGGGTGAACAATGTGAACGATTCATTCTGGATGCTCTGAATCCCGTTAGTATTTCCCTCTGAAGGGATCAAGCTCTGAGCTAACAGGAAATTAAATCATTAGAGGCTCATGCTGGTTTTAGATTTTGGATGGATTCCTTTTAGCTCCATCCGTGCTTCTAGGGCGTTTTGGCTCATTCTGGGGAGCAGACTTTGTTCTTTAAGGATGACCTTTCCAGTGGAAAGACCAAGGGACCTCTAGAATGGCAGGACTTCAATTCCATTCCTTAGCGGTCTGTGATGATTGGCACAAATCTGTGCTCACTACTGTTTTCTTGTGGGTTATTTGAACTCCTGTCCTGTGTGTGGATTCAGTTGTCCCACGAGTACTTGACAGGACAGGCTGTGCACCTGTCAGGCCCCTCCCTTTGGAATGTCTTCCTTTGCTTCTTGGAAGCTCCCTCTGCCTCTAGCATCTTTATATGGGATGCAGTACTGCCTTCTGCCCCGCTGACTGCAGCTTCTGCTGTGTTTGGCTCCTCCGTCTGTTCCACAGGGCCTAGCCTGGACCTGCGTACATTCAGCGGATGCACAGTGAATATGCATAGTATGATCAGATAAAGACTATAGGGGCGGCGAGGGTCCAGGGCACCATCTTAAAAAGACAAAGCAGCAGAGTCTCTGGCCTTATCTCCCTGGTCAAGTTACTTAACCACTCTGTGCCTCAGTTTCAACCATAGGTGAAAAGCTTCCTACTACCTAGGATTGTTGTGAAGATTAAATGTGTTAAGACAGAGAGAGGGACAGGGCCTGGGGACACAGCTCAGCAGCATAAGCACCTGAGTTATATGTGCAAGGAACTGAGTTCGATCCCCAGTGCTATGAAAAAAAAGAAAAAAAAGAAAAAGAATTACTTGACTGGCTGGGCCAGATAGCTCAGCCGATTAAAGTGCCTGCACCAGGGTTCAATCCCTGGTGTGCCATGCCAGCCCTTCCCCCAGGGCACACTGAGAGGAGGACTGAGACTGGGCCTGGTGTCACGTGCCTGTAATCCCAGCCCTTGGGAGGCTGAAAACAGGAGAATCACTAGGAGTCTGATGTGTGTAGTGAGACTCTACAGACCCTATATTAAATACAAAAAAA